ATATATATATATTGTATATAAATATATTGTAGAGACCCAAAAGATGAGCCATATGTTTCATCACAGATGACGATCCCTTAACCCCTTTTAAACTCATTTTGGTTCTGGGGCCAGTACAATCATAACATAGCGAGCCAGTTTTGGCCCGCGGGCCGTATGTTTGACAACCTTGTCTTAAACGATCCTTAGTTTAAGCTTTAGTAATAGGTTAGTGTGAAGGTGGCAGACATCTTGGTTCAGAGCCTGAATGGTGCCACTGGGAAACTAAAAATAAACAATCTTTCAATCTATGGGTCGTGACCCAAAGTGGGGTCGCCTGGAATTCAGGCCTGAAATGTATAGTAATTGTTAAAAAATAATTTCATTTTTACAAATAAGGTTCACAGAATAAAAAAATATATAAGATGGCTACGTCCTGATTGACAGCTGTGATCATGTGACTGCACACGTGACAGCTACTAAAATGTCTCTGGAGTCACGAGCCAAGGAAAGATTCTCATTGGTGACACTATGGTGGCCATAAATCTGTACACCTAAAACTTAGTACACATGACAATAGGGCCACAGTCAGTCGACCCCCCGCCCCCCGTTTCCCCCATGTTCAACTCCAGCATCAGACGTGTTGTCAACTGTCAGAAATAGATCAGCTGACAGGATCAGGAAGCCAGAGATCACCTCCAGGTGTGAACAATGGCTGAGGTGGAGGCCTGTGATTGGCCCATTCCACGGCAAAGTGACACACGGTCCAGGAGTAGACATAGCTAAGTAAAGAAATGAGAAGCGACAGTAGAGAGAGACATAAAGGCTCAGAGAGAAAGAGAGGGGGCACGCTGTCTGGGACACATGAAAGAGAGTCAGCAAAAAGGAGGAGGAGAGCTCTTTTCTTCTGCTGATGAAAACAAGAATCAGCGGCCTAAAGGTAAAGAGGGTGTTCGCATGGCGGTGTGCTACGTTCAAAGGACACACCTGTTGTTTGGCCTGTCACTGTCTCTCAGCGTGTCTGTCCGTCTGTCTGTCCGTCTCACCACACACAGACGCAGGAGACCGGGGCACCACACCCACCGCCACACACAGAGGGATGACATCCAGCTGAGTTCTCTGAGAGGAACACAAGACACGGCAGAACTTCAAACTCAACTCCAGATAAAGGATTGTTGCATCATGCATTTTAAAAATACATTTTTTCATGCACTTTTTTTTTCCAGTGATGTCTCCCAACCCCCGGTTCGGGGACCAGTGTCGGTCCATAGGTTATTTGGTACCGGGCCAAAAACAGATGTACTTCAGTTGTAATAATTTACTTCATTCCAAAAGAATCCATTTATATCTCTTTACTTTTTTCATTCAAAGATAATCTGTCAATGTTTCAGAACAACAGGTCAAAGGTCATTCAGACTCTGATACTAGTAGAATAATTACAAAAAAAATATGTTTTATTTTGAAGAAAATTGAATGATCCTTTAACAATGGTGCTGTATTACCGGATGTTGAAGAGCATTAATGAAAAACACATTATTTTAAATTGCGTATTGAGAAAATGTAACCTTTTTTTTCTCTTTTTTTTTTGGTTCGTAGTTAGAAAGTTTGTCAGCAGCTGGTTAGTGGTGAAAATATTGAAGTGAACACAAAGCCTGACGGAGAGGCTGCGGTTTCTGTCTGGTCACTAATTACACTTGAAAGTCCAGAAGTAGAAGAAAATAGGATTTAAGGTTAAGTGTGACCAGCTTGAGATTATAAATGCTGCCTGGCGATACACTGGGATGTACTGGCCACCCCACTGCTGCACTAATTGAAACCCTGTTGCCACACTGACTGCAGGCCACGGCTTCCCACTGTGCACTTGGTGGTGAGAACAGACCTCAGCCAGAGCAGCCACTGCACACAGCCTCTCATTTTCCATTAGTCTGATCTGTGTTCTTTCACATCAAGAAATCTGTGATTTACCTGTGTATGTATCTGTCACCGGTTTGGTCCAGAAAAGGCTCCCACTCGGCAGTTCAAAGCACCCAGCTCTGAAAGAAAGAAACTCAGTCTGGCAGCAGCCAAAAGACCGGAGCGGAGCTGCAGCGTCATTCAAAAGAAAAACTGGCAATGACTGGTCTCTGACCGTCTCTGAGAGACAGAAACGGGAATTCTGACAACCTCAGAAGACCTGGTCCTAGGGAACGTCAAGACGTTTTGAAAATGTCTCTGACGTTTGAGTTTGACATAAATCTATCAATCAAACAAGTGGGTTCCACAGTGTTGCGTATGGATGCCCAAAATATAGATCAGGATTTATTGAATATATATATATAATGTTTTCAGTGTAGGTGGATCGGACATTTGAAAAGAAAAGTGTGGACGTTTTGAAAATGTCTCTGACGTTTGAGTTTGACATAAATCTATCAATCAAACAAGTGGGTTCCACAGTGTTGCGTATGGATGCCCAAAATATAGATCAGGATTTATTGAATATATATATATAATGTTTTCAGTGTAGGTGGATCGCTTCAGACATTTGAAAAGAAAAGTGTAGACACCCCTAGTGTAGCAATTAGCACACCTGCCTTGGAGATCAGGATTTATTGAATATATATATATAATGTTTTCAGTGTAGGTGGATCGCTTCAGACATTTGAAAAGAAAAGTGTAGACACCCCTAGTGTAGCAATTAGCACACCTGCCTTGGAAGCGTCCTGGGTTTGATTCCCAGAGGAACTAGTTATTATTATTATTATTATTATTATTATTATTATTACTCAGATCTGTGGGATTGGCAGCAGTGGCTCAACTATTTTTTTTCTGCATTTTTTTTATTTGGCCTGGACCAATCAGAGATAATTATCTGTAGTTGTTTTTATATGAAAGGCAGTGATGGGTGGAACCCTCTGAAAGGAGTCCTTTCAAATTAGTTTAAAAGAAGGCAGAAATGTTTTTGACTGTCAAGAAGAAGACTCAGATGTGGTCTAAACTGGAACAGGAAGTAGAGAGAGAGACGCATGTCCACACAAACCAGTGTCTCACACACGCAAACAAACTAATAGACATGAGCAGGAAACAAACACACACACAAACACACACAGTGTTGCACGCGAGGAGCCGCCTCTGCAGAGATGAGGAGGAAGAGCAGGCTGCAGACATCAGAAGGCCACTGCAGCAGAGCAGGGGGTGACCACACCACATCACTCACACACACACACACACACACACGCACGTGGATGTGCACACTCACAGAGCCGGGATTAGCGCTGAACAAGCAGGACCAATACCTTGATGCTGGTGAAGATCAAATGCAGATCTGCAGATCTGAAGTTAAGTGTCTCCCCGTTATATCACGGCTTCGTTCACACACTCCACCAAAGCTGCGTCAAACACTGGAACGAAGGATGAAGTCAAGTCTTTGAAGGAGACGGAATGATCTTTTTGGTCTCATCAAACTTCAGGCAGTGGCTTCAGAAGACAAAAGTAGGTGTTACCTCTACACGTGATGTACGGGCTAACAGCCACGCTAGGCTAGGCTAGGCTAGGTTTCCTCATACGTTTGGCCTCGTCAACAGGTCACAGGTTGTAGCCTCGGTGAAGTTGAACCTGCACGTGTGTGAGTGTGAGTGGAAACCATGGTGATTCACAGACGGGTGACAGGACACGTCAGTGTTCCAGCTCTGATTTTGTACAGAAAATCATGGCTGTTCTGAGCTGAAGGACATGGAGTACAGGGAATACTCCACCGATATTCACAAGGATATCTGTGCTTCAACTATGTTCTCATCCATCTCTAAAGGTTTTTCCAGTGGATTCTGTTCAGTCCAGGCCACACCAGGCCTGGGATGGACTTGACATTTATAATGTTCTGTTCAGACCTAATCTATGAGACACCAAATTATATTTTTTCACATCTTTTCTGTAATAAGCTGCTGTTGAAAAATCCCTCCTGACTACATTTATTATTCATTCAGACCAGAAACTGACCCACAAACCCTAGTTGTCACGATGTCCATTTTCATCCAAGCCAAACAACAGGATCTGTGATTCTAAACCTTCAACCGTCTGATTGGACAAACAACCTAAACAAAAGATACTTGTATGTTTGTAACCGACCGCAGTCTTTTTTAATCTAATATGTCACACATTCATCAACAGAGTTTTAACGTTAAAATGCAACGACTCATGTCAAAAATCAGTGAGTGAAGGGGGGTAGTCGTGTGTTGCCATTGTGTGGCCCAGTTGACTGGACCTGACGAATTAGGCTGCACATGTGTGTGTGTGTGTGCGCACAGTCATACACACACCCACACACAGGGTAGTAAGTAATGGTAGCCTGCCTTGGTACTTGGAATAGCCTCAGGTCTTGAGTGCCCCCCCCCACCCCCCCACCCCAATCATACACATACACGCGCGCACACACACATAATCTTGAAAGCACAGAGGGCAGATTAGGCTTCTGTCTGGTCAGTCCAATCACTCACCAGAGGAAGGAACTCAGGAAGATCTGGTGCATAGAGCTGGTCTTTGAGGGCAATAATTGACCTGGCCACACACACACACACACACATACATACATAAACATAAACACACACATATGTATATATATTTATATATGTTTATGTGCATACAGATATATAAATACATGTATATGTGAATATGTATACACAAACACATGCACAAAAACATATATTAATATATAAATATATATATATATACACACACACATAAACAAATGTAAATATATATGTATATATATGCACATAAACATAAATATATATATATATATGTTTATGTGCATACAGATATATAAATACATGTATATGTGAATATGTATACACAAACACATGCACAAAAACATATATTAATATATAAATATATATATAAATATACACACACACACACTCACGCACACACACACACTAGCGGCATGGCAGTGCCTTTGACCTGGTTCTCTGCATTTACTGCCTTTGGTTTGTGACTCCACTTATTGTTCTGGTCCCAACCATGTCAACCATTCATGTTCCACCCTAAGCCTGCTTTACTCTCTCTCTCTCTCTCACTCTCTCCCTCTCTCTCTTCCTCTCTCCCTACCTGCACAGTCGAGTGAGCTTGGGTGAGCAAGAGTGAGAGAGAGCGTGAATGAATGACATGCCAAACGAGGGCGGGGGTGTTGGATTGTGCTGCATTGACACATAAAACCAATGTTTCTCAGTTTTCAGATGTCTCATTGAAGGCCCTGTCCGCTTTGATATTTTAAGTAGGTATCACAACAAAAGGGCCAACAAATGGCAGAAGCGGTGCTGGAAGGAGCAGTGCCGCGGCAGTAAATGGAAAAGCCAGTGTGTGTGGTGCATGGGCAGAGGGAGGAGGAGGAGATCTCTCTCCTCAGGGACAGGTAGAGTTACCTGGGGAGGGATACTCGTGTACTCCCCTTCCTCTTGTTCCTGCAGGGCCACGGGAGGAACCAGTGCACGGTTGGAACCAGACTTTACGATTACATTTTAACGTGAAGCTCTGACTTTGCCTCGATGTCCCGTGACAGTGTCAAGAAAAATACGTTGGATTGGTTTTTGTTTTGTTTTTTTC